GCAATACCAGCTGCAGGAAAACAATTCATGGCATTACCGCTCCCCCTCCTTTTCCTCCCCACAACCTCCGGTCCTGGCATGCGCTATTATTTTGAATGGATGTGATTGACAGAGACGGGAAGCTCTCACATTTATTTCTCTTATAAAATTTACTGAAGCAAAAGCTTCTCCAAGAGAAGTACCAGCATTGTATCTGGTTCAGACACAAACCTTCAGGGAAGAAAAAGGCTGCCAATAGAATTTGGAAGCTAGAGAGGCAGGAGGAGGAACACATTTGGGAATTTTGAGCACTCTCCTATTTTTGGTGCCCTGAGGGACAGTTACATGTCAAAGCACAAATTAGAGGAAGGACAACTTCTTCGATTATGTAATGCCCTCTGTTAGACACATCGGATTTAGGGTTGGTCTAATTTACTTTGACTACTCATTTCTGAAAATTGCCTCTGGGATGTGGAATCTGTCCTTAAATGAAGCCTTTCCCTTAGTCCACATTCTGTGTGAGAGAGTATGCTCAGATAACCAAAATCTGTGTGTATTCTCCAGATCTGGAGGTTCTCAGTCTTCTGTGTTCATCGTCTATGTTAAAGTGGTAGAATTATTGGCAACATCAACGAAGGGCTTCAAAGAACCAAAACATACCACCATCCCCATTACAATAAAACAGTGTCTCTTGGTGTCCATACAGTAGCTGCAGCAAGGGCAGGGCTTACGTGCTTGTCTTTCCCCACCCTGTCTGGTGTGAGGACAGCTGTTTATTACCCTTACCTTGGTGTCTTACACGTTTACACATTTCAGAAAACGTACAGTCTTACTTTGTTGCTGGTCCTCCCTTATGCCACAGCTTTTATCGCTGAAAGATGAATCCTGCAGACCTCAGTAATAGTATGTATACTCATTTGCAGCAAAGATGCATTTTATAAAATTTGGTAAAGTGTTCAGATGCTGGGGTGTCATAGCAAACTGTTAGAAAACCACTGCCTCATGTACCTCAAAATTAAATCACAATAAAAGGAAGAGCAGATGGCCCCACATCTGCTGTCTGAAAGCAGATGATTAGCCTTCTTCTTGTGGGGTGACAATGCTAGGTTGCTTTTTGATTTAGTGACGTTCTGAGTTGGCTGCCTTGGGGAACATATGGACGTGAGGTAGCTTGGTGAAGCCTGGACAATGAGTCAAGAATTTCAATGGGTTCTTACAGTTTGATGGTTTAGAGATAGATACACAGAAAATAACATTAAATATACGTATTTAAAAGTTGGCACTAGTTCAGTGTTAAAGTATCAGATTGGCAAGTTCCTGCCATGCACTTAAAGAAGCTTGTGGAATTATCACTCCGTGTTCAGAATTACCCAAGTGATGTGAGAAAGATTAGGCAAGTTTGTTTTATTCCTATGCACATTAATTTAGGAATTTGACTGGGAAACTTTCCTTTTTCCTTAAAACAAATATCTAAAGTTGATATCATTTAAATACGGCAGAGTTCATTCTCCTCAACCTTCTTAGGATCATAGATGAATTAAATCCTGGGTAGTTTTGAGAAGTGGGCCCAAAAGAGAAGGGATGAATAAAACCCAACAAATTTCATTCAGAGTGAACGATGTGCTTAATGCTAAGATGCAGCATGACTAGGTTCAAATATTTATTGATGGTCTATCATGTACCAAGTCTATATTCTAGGCTCTAGGGGTAAAACAGTGAACCAGACAGATGTTCTGCTGTTGTTGATCTTAAATTTTAGTGGGAGAGGCAAATGATAAACAAGTATACAAGTAAATATTAATATATAACATATTAGGGAAGAATAGAGAGTTACAGGGTAGGAAGGGAGCCACGAGTGCCGGTTCATAATGGGTACCTAGGGAAGGACTTCTGATAAGGTGACATTTGAACAACACTGATGAGCCATCTAGTTACCTGCGGCAACCGTATTCTAGGCTGAAGCATATGACAGGCAAAGAACCTGAGGCAAGCTCCCATTCTGACTCTGGGTTCACCCATGTGACTTGCTTTTGCCCATGGAATGTTAGCAAACATGAAGGCAAGCAGAGGCTTGAAAAGTACGCGTGTTTCCTCTTTGTGCTTTGCGTGATTGGTTGTATCCTCTTTTTCATCTCTGCCTGTCAGGAGAGCATGCCCAGGCTAACCTACTTCAGATGTGTGAGAAAAATGTGGAGAAAAGCTAAGACCATTTGAACCAGCTGAGAGCCAGCCATCTCCCAAACACGTGAGAATGCTCAGCTAAGATCAGCTGAAGTGCCTCCTCTATGCACATTTCTGACTCCAGACATATCAGTGACCCCAGCTGGGACCAGGAGAGCCACCCCGCCGACCTGTAGACTTATGAGCAATTATAAATGGCTGTTGTTCTAAGCCTCACAGTTTAGGGATGATCTGTTATGCAGTTGCATTGCTGCATAGTGTGTGTTACAGACACTAGTGGTTCTTCCCAGTGTGGCCTGCCTACCTGTTTAGCTTCATGTCCCGCCACCCCTAAGCACTTTATGCTCTAGGAACTTGATTTACTTGAATTCCTGAAATGGGACATGGTGTCTTATGCCTTTTGATATTCTATTCTCTGTTTCTGAAATGCACTTCATGACCAGATCTCCTGGACGACTGCCCTTCAAGGCTCAGCTCAGGTGCTGCTCTTCTGGAAAGTCACCCTGCTGCCCCAGGCCGGGCTAGGAGCTCCTTCCTCATGCCTGTGTGAGTGTCTCTGGCACAGAAAGGCACACACATGACTCCAATTTAGTAGGTTAAGTTTTCTCTCCCTGCCATTTCTCCCCAGGGCAGGAACTCTGTATTCTCTGTATCCTGAGTACAGTGTTGGGCACCAAATAGAATCTCCACACAAACTTGTAAGCTCAATAAAAACATGTGTTTACCTTAATGTAACAGAGTTTTAAGTATCATAAAAGAGAAATTACTAAGAGAACAGGGAAGGTTTCTGAGAAAAGGCAGAATTTGAAATGCCTTTTAGATTTGCTGGTGGAGATGGCATGGGAGGTGAAGAATATTTCAGACAGAAGAAACAGCCATGAATAATGGCAAAGTGGGACACTGGTGATTGGAGCACCCAGTATTATTACAGTGGAGGATTCATGAGCGGGCACGATAAGGGATGGGACCATTTTGTGGGGCTCAAATAACGTGTTCAGGTATTTGGGCTTCATTTTGTAGGGGGGTGATTCTATAAGAACCATATTTTGATGGGTTACCTTGGAAGCGGTGTGTAGGGTAAACTGGCAGTCAGAATAGAAATAGACTGGTTATGTGGAACCATCTCTTGGCTTTTGGAACAATTCAGACAAAAGATAATGGTGGTAGTGCGAATGTGTAAGAATATATAGGACATGGTAACCATGTGTGGGGGTTGGAAAAGGGGAGATAATTGAAGATGGCTTCTAGATTCCTCTTCTGGTGTCGGGAAAAGGAACAGACTTGGCAGGAATGTTAAGTCCGGTTTGGACATACTGGGTTGGAGGTGTATAAGGGTGGAGATCTCTAGCAAGCCTCGAGAAATGTGGGCCTGGAGCTCAGATCAGAACTGGTACATTTGGGGATCTTTTGTCTGCAAAAGAACATAGCCCAGAGAGATGATGAGGAGATCAAGAACAGATCAATGCATAATGCCTTTATTTATAGGACAAGAGAAAGTGGAGTCAGCAAGGGAGACAGAGTTAGAAGGAGAAACTAGAGTCAGGTGGGAGAAATGGTTGACAGTGCAAAGAGGAGACTAACTGGATGAAGTACCAGTTTCAGAGACAGAAAGATAAACCGATAGAAAGGAGGGCTGAGAAGGGACTAGTGAATTTGATCATTAGAAGGATGTTGGTGTCTTTGAGGAAAGACTGTTTTGGTCTATAGTTAATGGGGTTTGAGGTCAAAGTGCAAGAACTGAGTTGGGTGAAATGAGGAAGTGGAGGCAAAAAGTATAGATTCCAAGAGATTTATTAAAGAGAGATGAAATAGTAGCTGAGGGTTGAGACATTTATATGAATCGGGCATTTGTGTAGATAAATGGGTGGGGGTGGGTGAGGTTGGAACAGGGGGTGGCTCAGAAGCTTCCAGAGAAATGGGAAAGGGTAGAAATGAGAGCCCATAAAGGAAGGTTTGCCGTTAGCAGGGAAACTACTTCCTTTTCTGGGATGGAAAATAGAAGGCGAACCTTTGCCTCCACATTGTGGGTGATGGCCACGGCTGCACGCAGTCCATTTCCAGGCCACGCGCACAGAGATAACACATCAGCACACATGATCAGCCACTTGACGTGGTATGGCATTGTCATTTCTTAACTTCTTATCTTAGAGGTCAAAGCATTTAAAAAACTAAATGTTAGCATCTTAATCTTTTCAATAATCCACTTGTTTATATGACTAAGAAATGTCAGACTGCTAAGAGGTTAAAAAAAAAACCCTAAACAAAAAACCTCTTCAAAGTACCTTGTTTTCTAAAGGGTGGGAAATGAAGCATGTGATATTTATCAAATGCTTATTAATCTATTATTAACCAGTTTTTTTAATGTCTGCAAAATTTGGGGGTAATCAGAATAGATAGTAATTTTGGTGTCATGTAGATATGAGTTTTACATGCTCTTTAAGCTAATCATCTCTTTATTTGGCTTTAGTACTTCATAAAATAGAAAAACATTTTCCTGGTAGTTTCAAAAATAGATCATAACTGTGTATGTAAATATTCACTTGCTCATATAATAAGTCTGAAGAAAATACGTGCACATGAACATATTTGTACTAAAATTATAGAAATTTTTAGGTAATTTAAAAGCTTATCCATCAAAATTTTCTTCAGTGTGGTCCATGCTTTTATGGTACAAAAAGAATATCAAGATGATGATGTTTGAACTGAGGTTTTATATAAAGAGCATTTGAAGTGGGGTTTCTCATTGTTGTGTCGGTTTGGTTTAAGGTAGTTCCATTACTCTGCTCTTAGAAAATATTTTATTAAAATGTTTGGGTGACCTTTTTCACTGCAGATGCCAAGATAAGGATGAAGAAAAGACTAAGGGCAAATACAGCTGTTGCAGGTGGGTGGACATTCTTTCTGGTTGCTTTCATGTCACTGGGCAGGAAGTGAACTGGCCATCCCCCGCCTCAACCCTCGCTGCCTTTCCTTTCGCCCAGACACAGACCGCTGCTGATGTTGTGTAAGGACAGGCTGGGGAGCCGAGGGGTCCCTCAGAAGGAGGGCTGCTTTGATCTCTGCTGGACCTGCAAGGGACCCTGATCTCTTGGGTCATTTCTGTCTTTTAGGAGGAAGGTCATGTCTCTTTTCGAGGCTTCCTAGTTCCGATGGTGTCTGGACAGGGAAAAAACACTGTCCCTATGCTCCTGACTGTGGGGTGCTTGGCCTCAAATACCAGTTCAGATTCCAGCACACCCTACTGAAGAGGAAGCCTCACAAGTCTGAACGTTAGTTTGGACAATGAGAATGAAAGCATTTTTCTTTTGAATCCTTTGTGCTTTACAAAACACTTCAAAAGAAGTGCCTTTAATACTGGAGCCCTAATAAAGAACATAGGAAAATTTGGTTTCTTTGATGAAGAAAAACCCTGATGCATACAACAGATGATACAAGTAACTCAGTCTCCTTAAATTCTGTTACTTTATCTATTTTATACATTGAGAATTGTTTGGAGATAAGGCAAGATGTAAGCAAAAATTGGAGAGAAAGGAAAACAAGAGTTTTTTTTTGGTCATTACTGGTAGAGACACGAAGATATGAAAACTATTCCTGGGATGTCTATAATTCTTAATAAAATTCCAAGAAAATCTATTTAAAAATTGCAAACAAAGCGAAAAAGGAGAAGTCCACTTCCCAGGGAATTCTCAGGGGCAGACATCTTAATGGGGTGTCACGTAGGTGTCAGAGAGAAAACTGATACATCACTCAAACTGAGCTCTCCTACTTCTTCTATTTTCTATAACTTTCTAAGAGCTGATACTGAAACTAGCGGAGGGCTTCCCATTTTCCTTTTCTGATGGTTTCCAGGTCAAGTCTCTGTTTCCTCCAGCTTCTTTTGCCTCTTCTCCCTCCTGCAGACAGCTAAGGGTAGGAAGCCCTTTCTCTTCATTCTCATCTATAGGGAAGTAAGACCTCAATTAGAGACCACACTTTCCTGCCCTCTGACAGGGTATGATCACTAGTAAGCTAAATCCTAAGGTTCAGTTTTAGACTTCAAGATGTGATGGCTTTGGGGGCTTTGTTCTCGATATTTTGAATTTATTATGTATAGCTACTTATATGTGTTCCTATGTATCGATTGAAGTCCATATCTCTCCCTTAAATACTTTAGTGAATTTCATCATCCTGATATAAAGCCCAAGCTCTTAGCGTGCCTGGAATCTCCTGCTCTCATTCGTTCTCTGGTGGACCCATGTTCTCCTGCGTTCAGCTCAACATATGTCATTTCCAGAAAACGTTTCAATAACCAGGATGTGAGTCTAGGTGCCTCATCTCTGCTCCTGTATTATTTAGTATATGATAATAAAGTAATTCACTGACTGATTGGTTCAGTAAATGTTTATTGAGCACTTACTCTCATTGCCTAGTACTATAAGCTCCACCAGGTCAAGGTGGTTTGTAATAAAACAAACTTTAATAAATATTTATTCAAATAAAATGGATAGATATTATTTTTAGTTTTCAGAAAAAGCTTAATTGGTTACTCATGAATGAAATTCCCATTATAGAGGTAATGTGATATGGTTAAAAAAAAAAACCCCACTGGAGTCACAAGTAGAATAGTTATCAGTGGTGGCTGAGAGCCTAGATTTCAAAGTCAAATGACCTGTGTTTAAATCCTGGCTCTTCTGCTTGCTGGCTTTGTGACATTGGGTCCATCATTCAGTCTCCTGTATCTCACATGGAAGATGGAAGTCATGACAATACCTGGTCCACCAGGTCATTGAGAGCAGTAAGTGAGGAAGATGCAATTAAATGAGGTAGAAGTGCATTATAAACTTCACAGTGCAGCTATTTATTTTATTTATTTATTCAGGTTTTTAATTTTCTCAATTTCATCCTTAATGGTTCTCCTCAAGCTTTAATGTATACATACAAATCACTTGGGCATCTTGTTAAAATGTAGTTTCTGATTCAGTATGTCTGTAGGGCCTGAGAGTCTGCATTTCTAACAAGCTTCCAGGGGATGCTGGTGCCCTGGTCCACAGATCACGCTTTGGTCTAGTCTAGAGTGTGGTTCTAACAAATGTTACTCTGCACCAGTGTCTCCTGGAGCTTTCGAAAACAGGATTGCTGGGACCCACCCCCAGTTTCTGTATCAGGAGGTCTTGGATGGGGCCTGATTTGCATTTCTAACGAGTTCCTACGTGATGCTAATGCTGCTAATCTGGGAATGCCTTACTTTGAGATTTATTGCAGAAAACAGAAGACTGTTTTACTTGGAGAGTAAATTACTTTTCTATGTTACAGGAACGAATTGGAGATGTAAGACTTACGTAGATTCTGATTCTTAAATTTTAGTTCTGGTGCCTGAACAGATTTAGTACTATTTGAAAAAAAAATTGGCACAAATCTGTCCCTATGGCTTTCTATTTTCTGAGGCCTGCTACAGCTGTAGCAGTAATACTCTATCCCCAACCTGGGATCCCTGACAAGGATTGCTCTGAGAGCCAATGGGATTTTGGCTCTTGACCAGGTGTCCTCTGACACAAAGGAGCAAAAGAGAGGAAAATATTTTAGTAAGTTTCTCATTAGGCATTGTGAACACTGGCTCATGTTTTGATAGCCTTTGCCATAATAAATAAGTACAGTAGGATAATGGATTCTCTTCCTGGACTTAATGGAACAGTTGGTGCACTTGAAGGACAGCATGAGCTACATGACTCTTCAAGGATTTACTCACAGCAAATCATGAACAAAGAGTGAGGAATGGTCAAATCTGTCTCTAATTAAAGCAAAAATTAGAAATATACAATATTAAAATATACTGAACTGAATCATTGTATGTTCGTTGGTACTGTAGCTCTTTAGAGTAGAGAGATTTTGCTTGCACGTTCTGCATCAATTGTCTTCCTGTGTCAGCCTGGTACTATTAGGCTAATCAACCGCTTTAGTTCAAAGAAGAAAAATAAAATGCCCATGGAACAAAATCATACTTCCTCCTCCTGAAAATGGACCAACTATGTATGTCTAACACTTACTATTCCCTCTTCTGTACAGAATAGAGTGTTATGTTCTGGGAGTGAGTTCAAGAGTGGTTCCTGTCCCCAAGATTTTTATAATCTTAAGAGAGATGAGGATTTTTGTAAATAATTACAACACTATAAGTAGAATGGAATAGCTGGTATATTAACCACACTATCAATGTGAGGAGGGAATAAAGAGGAATCCATGATAAATTCTGTTTGAGGAAGTTGGAGAAAGTTTAATGAAGATGTAACATGTGGGGTGAAATTTTGAAACTTAAAAGCATTTCAGTAGACAGAGGCCTGTTAAGGGATTTATAGCAATATACTTACTGAACTTAGAACTGAAGTTTGTACTTATTGCGCCTTGCAAACATTGTAAGGGTTATTTTTCCTCATCTCAGTGGTGCAAAATGCAGAAAAAAATGTAAGCGACCTTTACCAAAGGAAATGTGTGTTACATTTTGTTACATGAAAGGTCAGTGGTTGCTTGGATTTTTTTTTAGATTTCTGTGTCCTGATTACCCTGAGAGCCAATGACGTTTTGGTTGTTGACCATATGGCTGGTTTTTCTATTGGTCTCGTCTGCACAACTCTCTAGCAGAATTCAAAAGTGACTCTGGTTTAAAGGCTGGTAACTTCCTAAGACACACTTCAACTTTGAAGAACATAGGTGCAAATTTTTTCTTTACATCTTTCAGAGTTCTATAGAATATTTATAGTAAGAAAGTTGGACACTTAGGAAAAGACGAATAGCCTGTTTAGATATAAATTTACACTTGATGGAAAATCAAACTTGTCTTTTTGCTCTGTGCCATCATGCTTCCTGTGAAATCCCACTAGACTGATATTTTCTCAGCTATTCTATTTACTCAACTGTTACATTTCCTCCCCATCAGTAGTCTTCGGGCATCATTTCTTTATGCCAATCCAGACTCTGTAACCTATCGCTTTGACCACTCTCATCATTTTATTGTACTTTTTTTGACACTTTGTCCTTCCATTACCCTTATCCACCAAATCCTCAACTCTGGATTAATCAAACATCTAACTAGACATCTTTATCCTTTTACTTTAAACTTGAGTTACTATGTTTAGGTAAGTTTCTTGTAGTATACTGATACCTGCATTTCGTTTTTAATATAATCTGAGAATACCTATTTCACATTGGGGGAGTTTGATTTGTTTATATTTATTGCAATTACTGACGTTGGGGGCATATTTATATCACTTTTATTGGAAATTTTATAATGCTTTTTCTTTTTTACCCCATTTCTTTCTTTAGCATCAATTAATTTTTTTCTCTAGAAGTACTTCTTTCCTTTTTATTAAAAGCTTACATTATTTTCTTATACTTTAGTGGTTATCTTTATATATTTAACACGTTTACTTTACAGGGCCTAACATTAATAAATATTTCTATTCTTCCTCAGAACAACATCAACACTATAGAATGTTTGAACTCTGACACCCTTGTCCCATACTTCATGCTATTGGAACTATACCTCATGTTATTGGATTTTAAGTTCCACTTTTTTTTCTTTTTAAGATTTTATTTGCTTATTTTAGACAGAGGGGAAGGGAGGGGGAAAGACAGGGAGAGACACATCAATGTGTGGTTGCCTCTCACACGCCCCCTAATGGAGACCTGACCTGGCCTGCAACCTAAGCATGTGCCCTGACTAAAAACTGAACCGATGACCCTTTGGTTCACAGGCTGGCGCTCAATCCACTGAGCTACACCAGCCAGGGCTAGGTCCGCATTTTTTGTAATTCCTTCAATTAGTCATTACTCTTTTAATAAAAGTTTAATTTTATATAAAAATTTATATATTTCATATAAATATACAAAAGACTATAACTGTTTAAAAGTATGTCAGTTATAACTACACAACTTGATGCATTTTCACAAAGGGAGCAGCTCATGTAACAACCACCCAGATCAAGGACTAGATATGACTAGCACCCCAGTAGCACCATTTAAGTCCCTTCTTAGTCACCACCTTCCCCAAATAATCATTATCCTAACTTGATCATTATTGATTAGTTTGCCTGTTTTGAGCTTATATAGACCCCATGTTTGGCTTATTGCCCTCACTATTATTTTTGTGAGATTCTTTCATGTTGTTGGGTGTAGTTTGTTTCTATTACTGTAAAATATTCTATTATGTGAATAGGTACCCTTATTTATCCTTTCTTGTACTGATAGACATTTAGGTTGTCTTTAGTTTGTTTATCACAAATGTCTATCATGAGCATCTTTTTGTGTGTCTTTTGTATACCTTTTGTGGCACCTGATTTTAGTATACATTCATAGGTTCCCATTTCTGTTGGGTACAGCCAGGAGAGGAATTTCTGGGTTACAGGTGAGTTGATTTACTCTCTCACCAACAGTGTATGAGAGTGCTACTTGCTCCACATTCTAACCAATACTTAGTGGTGTTAGTCTTTAATTTTAGCCATCCTGGAGGCTGTGTAAGGGTATCTCATGGATATTTAAAAAATGTATTAGGTAGTTGCTGATGGCTAATGTGGTTGATCACCTTCTCTTATATTTATTGGTCATTTAGCTATCTGTTTTTGTGATGTCCAAATTCTTTCTGTAGTCTGTACTTGTTAATTATGAGCTCATTTTTAGATTGGATTGCTTTTTCCTGTGGAGTTCTGTGTGTCTTAGCTTGTGAATAAGCACTACACAGTGTTTCAGGAATGTGCTGCACTTACTTCTGCTAAGATTGCAAGTGCTAGATTTTTGACTTGGGGTTCTAGCTTTTCTGGATAGTAGAAATTTGGGCCTCTGACCTGGAATGTGCACATATTTGGCGTATCAATTTCTCATAAGGAGAGTTGCTTTTTTTTTTTTTTTTTTGCCTGCATCCAAAGATTGAGTCAGATAGCATATTTCTTTTCTACTTCTTTGGGATGGTGTTCAGAGATTTTCTATATTATTTCTGTCCAACAGAACTTTCTGTGGCAATAAAAGTGTTTGATAACTGTGTCTTCCAACATGGAAGTCACTGTCCACCGGTAGTTATTAAGTACTTAAAATGTATGACAGGAATTCAATTGTACATTTTATTTAATTTTAATTAATTTAAATTTAAATAATCATATATGGTGAGTAGCTACCACCTTAGATATTGTGGTTCTAGACCAATTTTTATAGACTGGGCAACCCTTTGAGGATCTTGGATATATGAACTTTCAATTCTTCTCTTTATGCAGAACCTAGAGCACATTTCCTGTTCTTACACTCCTGACCCCAGTCCCAGCACCTAGGCCATACTCTTGGGCCACCATAGCATTGACTGGAGTTGGTTTTACTTTCTTTTACTAGTTAAGCTCAGCCGTGTATTAAATATTTTTGCAACATTGTATTTGAATGTTCATAATGGTGAGAGGGATACACATTAGCTCAATCTGCAGCTCCGGCTTTCATGCACTTATATGCCACTTGCCACTTATCTTCTGCTACCACCACCCTGTGGAAACTTCCACTGCTAATGGAAGCTCCATAGTGTTATATTTAATGACTTAATCCTAGCCTACATGATTTGTGAGAAGCTTTGACTTTGTTGACCTCTGATTCCTTAAAGCAATCTCTTCCCTTGGCTTCTTCCAAAGCACCATAGTTTGCTTTCTATCTATATTGATTTTCCTTTCCAGGCTCTTTCTAGGACTTCTCCTCTTATGCCCCCCCCACCACCCCCCCGCCATTCCTATTATTAAGGTGAGTCAGCCCTCAGCTTTATTTATTTTTTCTCACTCTACATATCTTTTTGTGGTGGTTATTGCATTCAAATTTCTGGCTTCATTTATATTTTATAAGCTTATGACTCCCGAATGTATTGCCATTTTTGAAACATTAGCTGATATATCTCAATATTTCTTGTACCCTGTTTGTTCACCATTCATTCTTGCAAAAATAAAATAAAACAATGGAATATAAAGTAGCAGGTTTTCCCAGGCTCACAAGGCTCAGGAAGAAGTGGCGAGAGTCCAGTGATGAGACAGTTATATGTTCTATCTAGGCAGACATGGCTTGGAGCCTAACTTAGTGCTCCCTTGATTTGTTTCCCGAGATAATTGTGGGGGGCTGTGAAAATGTGGGATATTGGCATGAGGAAGATTTTAGAGATATTCTTTGGTCTATAAGTAATAAGTGGCAGAGATGATTTTAGAACCCGGGTCATCTGGAGATCACCCACTACCCACTACCCGCTACCATCTCAGAATCTAATAAGGTGGCACTCTTCCTCTAAATCTGAGTTTGTGTAATTTAAGGAAACTAAGGGAAATCCCTATTTTTTTTATGGAATAATAAGTAATAGGAAACACCAGGAGATTTCAGTTATATTAGTTGTTAAAATTGGTATATAATAGTATAACATCTCGTATGTTGTAACTGAAACAGCAAAAAAAAAAATTAAATGTACTTTTTCCTATTTCCTCCAAGGGTCATGTGGAAGACTATATAATTCAGAAGAATTATTTCTACAGTGAATAAAAACCCTTCATATTTAAACCAATTCAAGTCTCTTCCTGCCATCTAGGCTGTATCTAGGACACATCTGGACATTTGAAAACATCCAAATTGGACTTTTCCAGTTTTTAGCAGAACATTTAGTGAATACAAATACAAAAAACTTACAATCATCTAATCATTTTTTAAAAAGGCAACAGCCTTTCAGTGGGACCTGTATCCCCACAGCATAGCCTTTATTTCTTACACCGTGTCTGACTTGCCCCATGTTGGTGGAGGAAGCTGACGTTCAAAGGGTGTGGTTTTTGAGGTTGCCACATGGCCTTGCCGTGACTTAAAATAACCCTCTCTGGCAGCCAGATGGCCCAGGGAGGCACGAAACACAGGGTTCACTGACCTCAGAACTTGATGCCTTAGGACTGGAGGCTCTTTCATGATACCTAACTTTCTGTTTTTAAATATCTGGAACACTCTCAGCCTTAAACTGGGATCTTGCTCCTTTTCTCCTTCCTCCCTTTAGTGAAAGTAGAGGGTAAGGATTAATTTTAGGCAGAGAAAGTGAATGCTGACCTTTCATCATTCCCCTGAGAACACTAAGCTTTAACTTCTTGCCAGAAGAAAGTCCCCCTTCTTCAGTCTAAATCCTTTGGAAATTGTGTGAGTAGGAGGTATGGAGAAACCTAGTCTGGGAGTCTGCAAATAGGCAAATAACCTCAGATACAAAATTTAGGTTAAATTCTCCACTGTGTGTAGATGCATAAAATGCTATTCTAGGTATTCAATGATAATGTCTTAAAAATCAGAGAAACAGTCATTTTGAAGGAAAAGGTAGAGAGCATTACTTGGAGAGGAAAATTATTTTTTTCTCTTTATAGAATGGAAAAATGAGACAAATTGGTTTAAAAAAATATATTGCCGGGGAGATTTTATTCATCAAAAATCTATTTAACACCTACTATGTGCCAGAGTTGGCTCTAGGTTCCAGAAATATAATAGCCAGTAGGCTAGATAGACAGGCCCTTTGGCCTCGTGGACTTCCTGCTCCAGTGGAAGGCACATGGCAGGAGTCCCAGGCCGGTGAGTGTGTCCACAGGGGTCAGGGATTTCTCTGAAGGGGTGGTGTTTAAGCCAGGAACTGAAAGTGGTTAGATGGACAAAGTCCTCTATTTAGTTTGGCTTCGTTTTCAATGGTCCTATTCCAAAATGAAACAAAACAAAAATTCAGTTTTAAGTATTTTATTTTTTTCTATCCTTCTATGATTGCCTGTCTGAGAGAAAATTCTGATTTCAATAGAAAGCAATTGGATTGCTACTTCTTTCTCTACCTCTCGCACGGATATTTATTAGTTCTCATATCTTGGTATGTTATGATCAGGTCTGTTACTTCCCCTAGATTGAGAACCCCTTAAGGTCAGGGATGTTTTAATAGTTTCTGTTCTGGCACATTAGAGCTCTATGATGAATAAAGAAGAACATCAAGATGGGTGAATAAAAGAAATAGATGGTTTCATAGCCATCATTTTTCATTGTTAAGAAAAGTCTTATATCAATATATACCTTCTTATATGTAATTTAATCTTTAATACCTTTTTTGACCACCTACCATGCGCAGGCCCTGTGTGTGTCCTGGGGATGCAGTGGTGACCAAAGTGGGCACGACGCCGGTTCTCGTGGAGTATACAGTCGGATGGAAGAAGACAGACTTTGTATGAATAATCTCTCCAGTATGTAATTCCTAACTCTATCAAAAGAGACAACGGAGGTAAAAAATTTTTTTTAAAGATTTTATTTATTTATTTTTAGAGGGGAAGGGAAGGAGGGAGAGAAACATCAATGTGTGGTTGCCTCTCCCACTCCCCCTGCTGGGGACCTGGCCTGCAACCCAGGCATATGCCCTAGAGTGGGAATCAAAGCATGACCCTCTGGTTCACAGGCCTGCGCTCAATCCACTGAGCTACACCAGCCAGGGCGGAGGTAAAAATATTGAAATGAAAGATTTTGGCTGAAAATGGTAGGAAAATTTAAACTTTTATCAGATTTTTGGATGCTTGTAAGAATGATAACTCATATTTTCTCCCCTTCTATCTTCCTATAATAATTAACTTTTAAAGCTTATGATGCAGAATTTTTATAGGGAAAAGGAGAAGAATTAATATTTGTTACAACTATTTTAGCTGCTTGGCTTGGCTTGGCTCAACTGTTTATGGGAAAACACATTTTTTGGGGGTTGGTAAACACCAGTCTGATTTCTCCCAAATTATTTCCCAATGGTCATGATATTTAGTGAGTCAGAACTGGACTTTGCATGAAAGTTTTGGAATTCTAAAAAATTTCCAACATCTATAATCAGGGGCAAATGTTCTTGCACATGAAGAATATGGGAAGACAAGTAGATACAGGAGATGGGAAATATGAGTAGCAGTCATTTGCACTCTTCTCCAAATCTCAGGAAGACTACTCTTGGAAGCTTATGAGATAATTATACACAGAAAAATACATTTTTTCTGGTTCCATATCTAAGAAATGAACTTAAAATAACTTGTCAGTATTAGAAGTTGAACACTGGAGGAGCAAGCTGACCTCCTTAATATAGCAGGACAACACATTTTATTAAGTTGGTATTTCATAGTTCCCTTGAAAGTTATGGGTATATATTAGAAGAAACCCTTCAGCATTTTTTCCTTTGTATTCTTCTCCTGTTTACCTTTTGTCCTTTCTTTTATTTGTCTCAGTTTTCCCTGAATGATGAACCTTTGCGAACCATGTGAACCTCTGAGCATTGTTGCTAATATTAATAATACATATGCTATTGGTGGTTAAAAAATGTGCAGAGGTGAGAAGGCACATGAATGATGTGATAATGTTGAACAATACTTTTCACAGATTTTTTATTTCTTAGGTCAAGGAAATTGCTAATACTCTGTAAGGGAAAAGCTCATTTGCAACTGTAGATTAATACTGTGCTATTCTTGATGAAAATCTTTAGTTCTAGTCTGGTGTTTAATTGCTTGCCATTTTAATAAAAACATGAGAGCTGAATTGGTGAGAATAAAGAGAGCACGTGAAAGAAGACAGAATAAAGGAATGAAAATGGGAGAGTGTGAACCACTACTGACAGCCTCACCACTAGGGTAGGCCACTTCCTGAAATCAATGTCCTGTGTTCCGCTTGTCAGCCACTGATAACCGCCAAGTAACAACTGTATAACAGAAGCAGAGAATAGAGTGGTGGTTACCAGGCCAAGGAAGTGGGGGAAGTGGGGAGATGTTAGTCAAAGCGTGTACATTTCAGTTATGTACAATGAATAAGTCTAGAGATCTAATTTACAGTATGATGACTATAGTTGATAATACTCTTTTGAGTATTGAAAATTTGCTCAGAGAATAGATTTCAGGTGCTCTTACCAGACATACACGAAAGCTAACTATGGAATATGATGCTATGTTAATTAGCCTGACTGCAGCAATCTTTTCATAATATATATGTATATCAAATGTCATGTTGTATACCTTAAACATATATAATTTTAATTAAAAAGGAATCATGTATAAGATGCCCTAAATCATATGCCCTAAATCATGCAGTCTGAACAGGATAATTATCTCCAAGAGGGTGACAATTTGTTCAAATATGTGTGCATAATATTACTTTTTTAATGTATAAAGCATGGATATAGAGTATAGAAACAGTTATACAGTATACCTATGATATTAACATTTCTTGCTGGGAGAGCAATTAGAAAATAATATTAAAAAAATTTCCTTAGGGGGAAGGCAGTAATGAGAACTAATGGTGGAGAAACATTGCTTTTAATGGTATCTTTGTGCACTACATAGAGGAGATACCGTATTTTGCCATGTATAATAAGCACTCTTTCGCCCAAATTTTTGAGGGAAAAATAAGGATGTGCAATATACATGGGTATTACTAATTCTGTATCCCTATAAATGTTCTTAATTCTTTTATTTATGCTTATGTATTAAAAGTGTAACTCTGGAAAGCAATAATGATATCCATATGCAAAACAACACCCTGGAATATGATAATTGGTTTCATTTCTAAATATAAATAAATAAAAAATTGAATTAAAAAATTAAAAGAAAAGATTTTTTTCTTGAAAGTTTGGGCCAAAAATGTGGATGCACATTATACATGGCAAAATATGTTAATTTTCTTCTGAGAGAAGCTACTTAATCTTAAAGAATTTGATATTTATTTATGTTATAGCATCAATTAGGAAATGTCCATGACAGCATAAAGCCAAGATGGTAGCATGGCTAATAAATGATGAAGGAGCCTGAGGCAAATTGACAGGTTTCTTTCTCAATAGCCTCACTATAAATCAATGACCCTGAACCAAAACTGACTCTATATTATCAATAAAGAAGTAGTGAGAGGTAAATTCTCTTTTGCTTATTTATAAATGCCATGTGCAGAATACATAGTTTTTCTGTATACATGTACGATAGATATTCTCTTAACTGACCCCCTCTTAACTAACTTGGCAGATTAACAGAGGTTCTCCATGCCTTCTGTGATACATTCTGGTAGAGGTCCGCGGGACTTGGAACACCACGGGCTCGTGGCCTGCACGTGCTTCTTTTCTCCCCAGGTAAGTTATATGCTGACCAAGAGTTGGTTTGGTTTGTTCCCAAACTTGTTAATTGCATTTCTTACTATATTTTGTTATTATTTAATGAAAGAGCAGGTAAGTTTACTGTAAAAAGGAAGAGAATTATTGTTTCTACAAAACCCAAGTTGAGTGCTTCAAAAAGAGTCAATAAGGAGAGTTACACTTTCAATTGAGAACAAAGGAATTGTATGCTTGTTCCCAGCCATGTTCAAGTACAGGTACAAAGATGTTAGAGCTTTGGATTTAGCCAAGCTTGGGGTTTGCCAGAGGAGCATGATGGACGAGATTCAGGAGGTTGAGGATGTATGTGAGTTAGTGAGTATAGTGATGGATATTAGACTTTAGACTGCATGAGGAAGGCAAATAAGACCATGAAGGGTATAAGAGAAAAGATGGTAGGCTTGGTGAACTAGAGGGGGTTAAAATAATAGGGAGAATCATCTGAAAAAATTGGAGGTTGTAATTGAAGAGTGGAATGTTAAAATTGAGATTACGGTGGAAGTGCAGTTACTGGCAATGACAAATAGGACTGGTTGGCTGAAGTGTTGTAGATCACTAATCAATGGGGTAAATAGAAAAGATATGAGAGAAGGTGGATTCAGGATGGCAGCAGAGTAACTGGCAGCTATCCACCTCCTACCAGGACAAAACTTGAATTACAACTAAAATATAGACCAATCAACCTAAATTACCAATCAACCTAGAAGACTATTTGAAGTCTTATAACCAAGGATTTACCACATTGAGACTGATAGGAACAGTAGAGACACCAAAGGTCTGGTCCCACTCCCACAGGCAGCATCTGAGATTCTGGAAAGGTCTCTTAGTTGCAAAGGTTCTGCTTGAGAAGAGTGGGATCTCAACCCCAGTCCAGACCACCAGAGCTGGGAAGAGGTGCCCACATAAAAACTGGCTGTGAAAAGTGGCAAGGATTCTGTCCACCAGAAAGAGAGAGGAGTCCACTAAAGATACAGGTGCCCTCTTAAAGGGCCAATGCACAAAATATCATTTACAGCCACTCACCCTGGACTCCTGTGGAGGAAGGGCAGAGTGCATTCAAGTTGTGTGAGGAGAGACTGGGGTTTGTGGCTGTGGGGAGAGAGCTATGGGAACAGTCACCAGGATCCCCGTTACTCTTTCACACTGAAGATACCATTTTCTGGAGTTCACACAGCATTAGTCTGGGGGAATGCAGAGGGTAGGAATGCAATCCCACCCTCTGGCCTCCCTGTAACCCCACCTGCTTGTGCCCTGCTAAGGAGTCAGCTGCCTGGGCTGGGTTGTAGAGGTCTGGGCAGAATCAGGGGTTGTCAGTGACTAAGTTGTGTGGCTTTGGGGTAAGGGCTATTCCCTCTCACTTTCCTGTAAACCTGACTGGTGCCTCCCCCTCATAGGAGATCCACTAGAACCATCCTTTGGGCTTCTGATAGCCCTACCATCCCAACTGCTGGTGGTTTCATCCCACTGAGGTCTGGGCAGAATCTGGAACAGATTGTGTGGCTCTGGAGAGGAGGCTACTCCTCCTACCTTCCCCTAAATCTGACCAGCACCTCTCTGTTAAAGAAGATTCATTAACCTCATTCTTTTAAGTCCCAGTGGTCCCAGTCTGCTGAGATGGGGCTCTGGGTAGGTTCTGAAACAGACTGAGTTCTGTGACTCTAGGATGGGGGCCATTTTTCCCTTGTATGCCCAGCTAAATCTTGGTCTATTTGAGCCTGATGAACTCTGCTGGCCTCAACCTGCTGACTCCCTGAGACCCCACCCCAACACAAAGGTGTGTAAGCGCCCAGCAGGTGGCAGTTAGATTTGGTATACCCTGGGACATTTGCTGAGTATCCTTAGACCCAGCACTGGCACCAAATTTGAACCTGTATCAATCTGTTGAACATCACTCGCCCTTACTGGTGACTCACTGACGACATACCTTATGCAACTCAAATACCACCAGAGGATCTTTCAGTGACTGAGCCTAACAGGCAGGTGGCAAGTGGAAAAGCAGGTGAAGGTGGATCTTGGAGTGTCTTGGGAGTTTTGCTGACTTGCTCCCAGGCCTGGTGCTTGTAAAAGTCAGCTTTAGTGTGCAGCTTGGTCCTTCCTGTGTACACCTGGCCCAGCAGAGACAGACACAAACTGGATCACTTTGTAGCTCTAAACAGGTTTCCCTGGGCCAGTCACAGACAGCATCTCACATTAGCCTGCACCAGAGTCCCTTCCAAGAGGCCCCAGAACAAACACACCCAGTGGCCAGCTTCAACAAATCAGAGTAGGATCCTATTAGATTCACAAGCAGCATATCCAAAAGTAGATCTCAGCAGGCACCAGGCTCTGCTGAGGTGAATTCTGCTTTGTGTGGTCAGTACCTGCAGAGCAGCTTGTGCACTATAGCTGGGGTTGATCCTCACTGTCAGCCAGCCTGAGGGTTGACCCCATACACCAACGGGCCAATAACAATCTAGACTCAGTTACAATAATAGGGCCCACATAACCCATACAAAGGACATTCCAGAAGCCCCCAGCTCAAGTGATCCAGACTGCACCTCTGGGTCCCACAGGACATCTACTACATAAAGCCACCCTACCAAGACTGGGAGTCACAGCAGATCTACATAATATATAGAAACAAACAAAAAGAGGTAGCTAAAATAGGGAAACAACGAAATATACCCTAATGGAATAACAGAAGAAATCTCCAGAATGAGAGCTAACTGAAAAGGAGGTAAACAACTTATCAGATATAAAATTCAAATAAATGGTTATAAGGATGTCAAAAAAATTAGTGAGAACTACAATAGCATGAAAAAAGACATAGAAATTATATAAAAGAACCAGTCAGAAAATGAAGGATACAATATCTGAAATGAAGAATACACTAGAGGGAATAAGCAGTAGCTTGGATGAAGCTGAGGACTGAATCAGTGACATGGAAGACAAGGTAGCAGAAAACACCCAATCAGAACAGCAAAAAGAAAAATATGAGGATAGTTTAAGGGATTTTGGGGGCAACATGCAGCATGACAACATCCGCATCATAGGGGTACCAAAAAGAAAAGAGATAACAACAGTTTGAAGACCTATTTGAAGAAATAATGGCTGAAAACTTCCCTAACTTGGTGAAGAAACAAGACACACAAGTCCAGGAAGCACATAGAGTCCTAATCAAGGTAAACCCAAAGGGTCCACACCAAGGAATATCATAATTAAAATAGCAAGGGTTAAAGACAAAGAGAGAATCTTAAAAGCTGCAAAAGAAAGATAGTTACTTAGACCTCCCATAAGACTGTTACCTGATTTCTCAACAGAAACCTTTCAGGCCAGAAGGGATTGGCATGAAATATTCAAAGTGATGAAAAGCAAGGACCTATAACCACAACTACTCAGCAAGACTATTATTTGAAGTTGAAGGAGAAATAAAGAGCTTATTAGACAAAGAAAAGCTAAATGAGTTTGTTATACCAAATCAGCATTACCAGAAATGTTAAAGGACCTTCAAGAAGAATAAGAAGAAGAAAAGAAGAAGAAGGAGGAGGAAAAGGAGAAGGAGAAGAAAGAGAAGAAGAAGACACATGGAGGAACATAAAAAATAAAATGGCAATAAACATGTACCTATCAATAATAACTTTAAATGTAAATGGCTTAAATGCCCCAATCAAAAGGCATAGGGTAGCTGAATGGATAAGAAAACCAAGATAATTATATATGCTGTCTGCAAGAGACCCACTTAAGAATGAAAGATACACACAGACTAAAAATAAAGGGATAGACAAAGATATTTCATGCAAATGGAAATTTTAAAAAAGCTAGTTAGCAATACTTATATCAGAAAAAATAGACTTCAAACCAAAGGCTATATAGTAAGAGACAAAGAAGGACTCCACATAATGATAAAGGGATCAATTTAACAAGAGGATATAACCCTTGTAAATATTTATGCACCCACATAGGAGCACCTAAATATGTAAAGCAAATCTTGATGGACATAAAGGGAGACATTGACAGTAATGCAGTAATAGTTGGGGACTTTAGCATCCCATAGACATCAATAAATAGATCTTCTAGACAGAAAATCAATGAGGAGACAGTAGCCTTAAATGACATACTAGATCAGATGGATTTAAGTGATATCTGCAGAGCATTTCATCCCAAAGCAGCAGAATATACATTGTTTTCAAGTATACATGAAACATTTTCTAGGATAGACCACATGTTAGGACAGAAAACATCTCAATAAATTTAAGGAGATTGAAATCATATCAAGTGTCTTCTCTGATCATATGGTATAAAACTAGAATTCAATTACAAGAAAAAAAATAAAAAATACATGAAGACATGAGCATAAATAACATGGTAGTAAACAGCAAATGGGTTAACAATGATATCAAGGAAGAAATTAAAATATACTTTGAAAAAAATGAAAATGAGAACACAACAACCCAAAATCTATGGGACATGGCGAAAACAGTCCTAAGAAGGAAATTGATAGCATTACAGGCCCATCTCAAGAAACAAGAAAAATCTCAAATAAACAATCTAACTCTACACTTAAAGAAACTAGACAAAGAACAAAAAACAAAGCCCAAATGAGTAGAAGAAAGAAAATAATAAAGATCAGAAAAGAAATAAGAAAAATAGCATCTGAAAGAACAATACAAAAGGTCAATGAAACTAAGAGCTGGTCCTTTGAAAAGATAAGCAAGATTAACAAAACATAAACAAGACTCATCAAGAAAAAAGAGCCCTGGCTGGTGTGGCTCAGTTGGTTGGGTGTTGTCCCATAAAGTGAAAGGTCACCAGTTTGATTCCTGGTCAGGGCACATGCCTAGGTTGTGGGTTTAGTGCCCAGTTGGGATGCATGCAAGAGGAAAGTAACTGATGTTTCTCTCTTACATTGAGGTTTCTCTCCTTCTCTTTTCCCCTCCTTTCCCCTCTCTCTAAAAATACATAAATTTTAAAAAGAAGAAAGAGAGAGATCCCAAAT